GTTCAAGGCCTCTAACAACGAAGTAGAGTATGAAGATATGATCACTGGACTCCAACTTGCCCTAGACCTCGGTTCTCGGCACGTTGAAACCTTCAGCAACTCCTAGCTAGGGGTCAACTAGATCCACGGCCAGTTCGAGACACGGACCCCCACCTTGGAGAGCTACCTACAAAAGGTGTAAGAGCTCATCCAACGGCTCGACCACTTTGTTATACAACAGATCCCCTAAGCCAAAAACATCCAAGTTAATGCACTATCAAAGCTGGCAAGCTTGCCGTAGACCAATCTTGGCTCAACGACACGGATAGACGTGTTGGCCCAACCCAACATATCACCAACGACTCTCATCGTCCTCCTGGTTCAACAAGGTCTGTCCTGGATGGATCCAATAGTACAGTATCTACAGGACAGCACACTACTAGAAGACCAAGCAGAAGCCAAGAAACTCGCACATAGGTTAACCTAGTATTGCCTTATCCAGCGACAACTCTGCCGTCGATCACACACTCTCCCCTACATAAGGTGTCTCCCCCCTTCTGAGGCCGACTACTTCCTCAGAGAGATACACAAAGGTATCTGCGGTGATCACCCCGGCGCCCAAACTTTGGCTCACAAGGCACTCCAGCAGGGTTACTATTGGCCGACCATGAAACAGGATGCATCCCAGCTCGTCAAAAGGTGTGATCGCTGCCAAAGACACTCAAATCTCCACCACCAACCAGCGGTTCCCCTAAAGCCGATCATCAGCCTGTCGCCCTTCGCGTAGTGGGGAATGGACATCCTCGGACCCTTCCCTACCGCAGTCGGGCAAAAGAGATTCCTCCTAGTCGCCGTGGACTATTTCACCAAGTGGGTGGAAGCCGAATCCCTTGCACGCATTACCGCTCATAATGCCTGAAATTTCTTCTAGCAAGGTATTGTTTGCCACTTCGGTGTTCCCTAGGTTCTCATCCCTGACAACGGCGTGCAATTCACTAACCGGAAGTTCGAAGCGCTCTGCACCGACCTGAAGATCGACCACAGGACTACACTGAAAACCAGACTTGACCAGGCTAAGGGAAGGTGGGACGAGGAGTTGTTGAGCATTCTCTGGGCATACAGGACCACTCTACGGACAACAACCAGAGAGACACCATTTAGCCTAACCTATGGGGCTGAAGCCATGATCCCTGTGGAAATAGGATCACCAACTCTTTGGACCGAATTCTATGACAAGGAGCAGAACGATGAAGACCTCCACGCAGAGCTCGACCTGGTGGAAGAAGCACGGGACCGAGCACACCTTAGAATGGTTGTGCAGCAGCAAAGGATGGCCAAATACTGTGATTCCAAAGTCCGAAGAAGAGAGTTCAAGACCGGTGGCCTTGTTCTTCGAAAGGTCATAGTACCCTCTCCAGGAGAAGGAAAGCTTGGACCGAACTAGGAAGGACCCTATAGAGTTGCCAGAGTGATCTGACCCAGTACCTACAGGCTAGAAGACCTCAACGGCAGGCCCATATAGAGGAGTTGGAATACTGGGAACCTTCAAATGTACTATCAATAAGTCAACAATCAATAAAGAGCCTTTTTTTACAAAGTGATTGTTCAACACACTGCACACACATACCACATGGCACACACCACACACACAAACTGCACGACACACACTACACAACGCACACCGCTCAATGCATGACACCCAACCGAACTCATAACGGGTGGAATGCCCGTGCACTGACTCGATTGACCTTTGAATGGCCAGAGCTGATAACGCACAGCTCGACAGTACATAGCCGGACAAACAAGCTGACTCGGCCAATCGTTGGCCAGAGCCCAAAGTGGAGAAGAACGCTCCCGCCTCCTAAGGCCAGAGGGTGATCACCAAACTCCGTGCACCCTGCTGACAAACCGTTAGATCAGAGCTAGCTGAGGAACAACTAGCTGCAAAGAGCAAAAAGCTCCCTGAGACCAAGTGTAACTGAGCATCCCCAGGGAGATGAAAGCTTGAAAAGCACTTCGGCCAGTTAAAACCAACGACGAAAGACCTTGGCTACCCTTAACCTCGGCCAGAATGAGACCGAGGCTTACAATTACTTTCAACAAAATAAAAAGAATTACAAGAGCTGGGAACCAAAAAGGCATCCTTTTCATTGATTAAAGATTCGTACATGGTTTTAGGCTCGGCATACCGGGTTATTTACATAACCATAAAAAAAGGGAAGGGAAAAGACTACATCAGCAAAAAGATAGAACACAACCAACTTGGCCTCTACCATCAATATCAAAGAGATAAAGGTTCCAATTCGAGGGCTTTTAAGTGGGTTCTATAGCTTCTAATTGTCAATTAAGAGTCGTTGGAGACTATATTGGAAAACTTGCAAAAAGAAGCTGAATTGTAAGAAGTTAATTAAATCTAGACTCTCATCTAGTCGAACAAACAAGTATCAACTAAAACACAAGAGAGAGGGAAGCTATAACAAATGCCACTTCAATTGAAAGTTATTGGAGGCGTGTTAAAGTTTATTGTCGATGAGAGTTATGGCAGCGTGGTCGGTGGCACCAAGTATCACCAAGAGGCAACAATATAGAGAGAGTGCAAACTTAAATGTTGTTGCTTGTAAGGGTGGAGAGAGTGAGATGGTTTGAAACACTAAAGATAGAGGGAGAAGGAAAAAGAGTTGGGTTGAGTGATTTTAAGAAAGGGCAATCTAGTGACAAAATTAACTTTTGTTTAGGCAATCTTGGATCGGGTTAGGCTCAGGACAGGATTGGGTTATCGAGGTCTCAATCAATCCAAGCTTAACCCAAATTTAGGTCAGTTTGTTGCCTAAAAACTCAGACTCCAACGTGGACGTAGGAAAAGCAAAGCAAAGGGAAAAACCCTAGGACTTTCTTCATCAGCCAGGAAAAATTCCTATGTTGCAGAGGCTTAACCTATGTTTACCTCTTGACCTCAATAACCACTCTCTGGTGTTGCAGATAATTTTGGAGGTCTTCTGGATTTTCAATTTAAACATTGCTGGCTTTTACAGGTGAATGATTCAGACAGTGGGAACAACCATTTGAAATAGAACCTTGATTCCTAACCACTTCAGCCCAAAAGTGTAAGGGGCTTAAGAAATTGATTCGTTTTATAAGGATATATTGTTTAGTAAAGATTTTGTTTCTATAAGACAAGAGGGATGCGGCAGCCATACTGGTTTCTGTGCTCAAGCCGTACTGGTTTCTGTGCTCAAAATCTGCAGACTTTCGGATATTCTATGGTGTTGTGGGTTGGGGTTGAGGTGGTCTTTGTTTTGAGCTTCCCTACATTAAAGCAAGCTCTCTGCCTTAAGATTTGGGCATCCTAGAAATTCATGGAAAGTGTCTTCTCATTTTTTGCAAAGTAGAACTCTACAACAGCAGACGATAGTTTTGAAGCATCTTTGTTCCAATTGATAAGATATTAAGATCTAAAAACTCAATTCGACTTATTAAAGATTTTTCATAATTTCTCTTTCCACTCAAGCTTCTTGGTAAGATTTATATTCTTGTTCTTGCCCCTACCGAAGAAGAAGAAGAAGAAGGGGTTTCTCTACAATCATTTTCCTTTGTTTGGAAATGGGTGGATAAATTGTATTTTTTTTCGTTTTTACTTTTACTTTTATATTTAAAAATAAGAAAATAGGAATCAAGAGAAGACACCACCATGCCATTAAATAACTTCGCACATGTGAAAATTTGAATTTGTGTTGGCTGATGTGTAAAATCTTGAATGGAAGAGCACCCCCGCACACACCAATGTGAGTGTAGGAGATTCGGGCTCATTTGGGAGGGATTTTGGGAGTTCACATCTGCACCCCACAAGAGGGCGCCCCACAACGTCCCACAGCACATCCCCACTGTGTATTGAGAACATCTCCCGATGATGACATCATCATTTCTGGTACTATCATTGGGAGATGTTCCCAATACATGGCGGGGATGTGCTGTGGGATGTTGTGGGGCGCAGATCTGAACTCGGCTTTTGGCATCGCAAGGTAGGCTCCACACTAATAACAGTGAAGTCATGTTTGGTGAAAAACCTGAAAAGCGAAAAATACACTTACATGAGCTGAGAATCCAATTTCCAATGAAGCTATTTTTGGTAGCTTCTCCAAAGTGGCTCAATCAACACAACACAACTGTATCAATGCTAAAGCCCTCCTAAACGGCCCTTTAGAAACAGGAAGGAGTGGAGGTGAGGGGACTGTCTCATGTTCACACATGTGGTTATTTATTTTTAAATCAAATTATTAAAGATATAAAAATCAAAGCCTTCATGAGTCTTAATTGTCTTTGACAAAATCCATCATTTCTTTCTCTAATAAGATCATTCTTAAATCTCTCTCTCTCTCTCTCTCTCCAATTTTCAGTGTTTGTAGTTTCTCCCCTCCCCCATTAAATTCCTCCATTTCCATTAAATCTCTTAACCCCTTTTGGTTTTCTTTAATAAAGTAGGGGTGTAAATTAGATGGATTGGATTAGGTTAAGGGACAACTCAAGACCAACCCTAAATAATAGACCTTAGCTTAAACCAAAACTAATATCAAAATCTAAATTTGCCAACTCAAACCTAACTAAATTTCTAGTTTGTAAATATAGACTGCACACTGTATTCATGTGGCAGTCTGTACTCACATGCTCAAAGTTGCATTCCTATTGTTGGATCCTTCTCTTAGGTAACCAGCAGATTTGGAATGCTATCCCTTTTTGCTTGATGTAAATTCATAACAAACAAAGACCAGATGGTGATTGATGCATGCTATAGAGGCTGCTTGCTTTACATATATAAAAACAACCAAAAAGCTATAGCTCAGATTGGGAAGAGTACAAATACAAATATGCACAATGCACAACCTTGTATTTTGTATTCCTAAACCCTGTATTTGCACTGTACATGTTTACATTTGTTCTCTTCACAAACTAAGCCTAGAAGAAGTGATCTGTTGCAAGTTGAAGGGATTAGAACTTAGAAGAGCTAGGGGCAAACTGAAAAGCACATAGGTTGAAATGGTAAGAAATGATTTAAGTACTCACAATTTGACAATCGACATGGACTTGGACAGAACAGAATGGTGAAACAGGATTCATGTAACTAACCCCATATAGTTAAGACAGCTTAGATGATGATGAAGAAAATAAAAGAAAAAATTTCCATGCTTACTGAGGCTACTTTGCACCGTTGCCATTGCTTCTACTAGTGTTGTTGTTGGAGTTGGGGCTGGCAGGCTGGATTGTAGTCAATCTTTCTAATTGCTCTTCCAGGAAGCTGACCCTCTTCTTTGCTGCCTCGAGTTCCCTTCTTAGCCAGTTGCAGTGTTCTTCATGACTGGCACCAAACCCAATTCCCTCTATACGAATTCTATCCACCACAGCCGTAACCATATCCCTTTCCTCATCCAAACTTTGTTGAAGGAATTCCAGTCCACTAACTAAGGTAGGCCAATTCAACTTTGTTGGTCCTTCATGTAGACATGCTGGATTAAAACTTCCATTGATTTCCATTTGTTGGATGTTCAATTGTTTACCTAAATCACCATAGATAGGTTCAGCTTTACCTTGTTGAATTCCATGGTTGATTACTTTGCCTTCATGTTTACCAGAGTCAAGATTAATATTGCTTGATGTGGTCAAAATGGTCTCATTGATCTCTTTGTTATCTGCAACTGTAACCTCACTCTGTTTGGCATGTTCATCGTCAGTTTCATCCTTAATCTGAGTTGAAGGTGTTGGAGATAGATCATGTTCATTGATGATTAGTTTTCCACCAAACTGTACTCGCTTGACAATAGAGTCTTCATTTGCAGTTTGAGACTGAGAGGAACTTTCTTCTTTCTCAGTGGGGAAAATAGGATCAAACTCTAAGACTTCCTCATTGAAGTTCCACCCACTTATCCTCCTATGCTTGGATTCTTCAGTATACTCTTCATGGTGGGTTTCCTCAAAGTAGATGATTGGTGGAGGATGATCTTGTTTAATTTTCTTATACCTCTCCTCAACTGTTGGCAATCCTTGCAACAGGTTCTTGATGAGGAAGTCTGAGCTCTTGCAGTTCTTGAAGAATGGATGTTTCAACAATTTTTCTGCAGTGGGTCTCTTGGATGGATCTTGGTTCAGACAAGCCTTGATCATCTCCTTGAAATTCTTTGAGAACTTTTTATTTTTATCTGTCTCGTAGCTCTTGTTCTTTTCATAATCCCGGAATCGGTTGGTGAATCTCATCATCAGAGACTTCCAAGGTGGAAGATGAGACAAAGGAGGTCGACCGTGTCCAAGCTCTAAAGCAGTAATCCCAAATGACCAAATATCAGCCTTGAAACTGTACCCATTATGTGAATGTATCACTTCTGGTGCCATCCAATAAGGAGTACCTGCCACATCGTTGAATTTTAAAGAAGATGGCAATGAGCAAGATGGACTAGGTTCATAGATTGAAGCAGAGACACCAAAGTCACCGAGCTTAACTGAACCATCTGAATCAACAAGGATGTTACCAGCTTTGATATCTCGATGGAGCTGGCCTTGTCCATGGAGATACATGAGAGCATTAAGGGTTTCTCTTAGAACAATAGCTATGCAAGGCTCAGGCAAACCATCAGGAAAAGATGTAGACATGAGAGATTGAAGAGACCCACCAGACATGAAGGGCATCACCACCCATAGACGACGATCAACTGTGAATGAACAATGGGCTCCTAGGATGTTTGGGTGAGAGAGTAGGGACATAGTTTTGGCTTCCCTTCTTATATCATCAAAGTCGGCCTTGGATCGATCAAGATCAATTGCCTTGATTGCCACAGTGGATGAGTTCATGGGCAGACAGGAAGCTTTGTAGACAATTGCACTTACCCCATCTCCAATCACTGCAAATATTTTGTAGGAGCTCGGGTTGAGAGGGTATTGAGTCTGCTGTCGAGGTTCCATGTTGTCTTGAGCCATGGATGCGTGGGTTCTAAACTTAGTTTCTCTCTTCAGAATACAAATGGATTGTTGGGACGGGTTTCACTGAGAAATTTGGAGCTTTAAATGAAGAAGAAGGACAGATTGGGAATGTTAATTTCTAGTCACTTTTCTTGTGAAGGACTGAGAAAGAAGAGCCATGAATATGTGAATGTGATAGGCCGTTAAAGGCATACAGTTGTATCTCTAAAGGTGAGCTCGTGAAGGTGAGCTGCTCTGCTCTTTTAAGTTTTATGGCGAAAGAGAGCCAAAGATGGTCTTACTTGTTACAGGCTTTTAAAGCCGTCTCTCTCAAGTATGGAAGTTTCAGCTTACAGTTGACAAAGATGGTCTTAGGCTGAGGCTGTGAACTACTCTCCTCTAGTGACAGGTAGCGGACTTGAGCCGTTATTACAGTTAAGTGCTCAGCTTAACTGTTGGACTGAATGAATGATTTATTGATTAAAAGACGAAGGAGTGGAGCACTCAGATTGAGCCCAACCACATGGCTGTTATATCAAACGGCCACCAAGTAATCGCTCCACCGTAAAAACTAAAAAAGTGCTGGAATCAGTCGACATCTCTCTTTAAGCTAAAGACTGAGGAAGGGGAGGGGGAAATCTCGTGAGCTCAGTAAAGGACTTCTTCACGTTCACATGTGCTTTATGTACAACGGATAGCCTAAAGTCCATCTTCTAGGACTGTGATCTGTAGGAGTCCAATCTGAGACGGTGTAGATGGACCAAACCTGCCTGAGTATTAATTTTACGCCTTGGCCATTAACCAGAGAGAGAGAGAGAGAGATGCGTTTGGAATCTTTGGATTACAGGTTACAGACTCTGGATGCACAAATATTAATGGATAGGGTTGCAAGTGCAAGTCGGGTAGGCGGGCTGGGCCATGTTTAAGGTCTATGTAGGCCCAATCCTAAAAAATTGGGTCTAAGGCCCAAGCCCAGACTGAGCCCAAGATCAAGACCCAATTTGTTCAACCCAGGTCTGGTCTGCAATGAAATTTGACAAACATGTGTGTATGTATGTTTTTATGTATGCAATCTATGTATGTGAAAACCCAAAGTTCTGGACCCAGGCCCAGCCCAAGTAAAATTGCAGGTTGGGCTAGTCCAGGCTTGGGTTCGGCCCGCCCAAGTTGCACCCTACGAATAGAAGCAGATTCTGCGATGAAATTAACCCAAAACTTCGTCAAAATGGGGTGCAAAATCTCACTCCCCACCTCTCCTGAGCCTCCATTTCCATCCTATTCCAAACAAAGTACTATTCTTCAACGTAGAAAAAACAGAACAATACTATTTCTCCAATTAACCAAGAAATATAAAAGAATTTTCTTCTGTGAGTTCTAAGTTCTGATCAGAGCATCTATCCCTATCGATGTTTCAACAAGAAAACCTACCGAAAGGAAGAATAGAAATTATGTTTTCTGCAATAAGGACTTGTGTTGCAGTTCAGAACTCATTGGTCGACCCAAAACTTGTTTTCACTCAACTCAACTACTCAATTAGAATTTAATAATACTCTTTAATTTTCTGAGTTGACTTTTACCATTCAGGCACTCATTGACTCGTTTGAGTGAACTTGATATGTATCTTCATGTGGGATGTCTCTTAGCTACAGAGCTTCTAGCCCAAGCCTGAATAGAAAGCCTAAAAAGATACTACCAATGACAGTATAGCCACATGAGAAATGCAATGGTTTAATTAATCATTTAGATGTGACCACATCCAAAAGATGTACTTCACAGCACCATCGGTACCTGCAAATTCCTGGAATAGAGTCAAAGCATTTAAACCAATGTAACCGTGCATCCACAATATTAAGCCCTAATAATTATTAACAGTGGATATGACTTTAAATAGAATGGATTGGCGAGTCGATCCCATATAGTTGGGATAAGGCATGGATGATGATGATGAACCATACATCCACAAAACCACTCTAACCCAATAGCTTTTGCAGACATTAGAACTTGGCAGGCCTTGTGGTACCATGGAGAAGCACAATCCAATCAAATAGGTCTGTGATGATTGGTGAAACATTACAACCATGTCATTGTTTTGTAACATAAACAGAGTGAGGACAACTATGCAATTTCAATTTCCAGTTTTAATCCAATTACATATAGCAAAAACTTCAAGCACAGAAAGTATGATATTAGCATCAAGATTGGAGAGGATGTATACAATGCCATCTAGGTCCATAGCAATGGCTGAAATAAATGAAAAATGAAAGGGGAAAAATAATGGAAAATACTATTTAATTTTTCTTGGAAGGTAAAAAAGTACTATTTATGCATAATAATTCATCCATTCAGGCAAGTTGTAAGAATCAAATGCAAAGACAGAATTTCCATTGAAAGGTGAATACACAACCTTTATCTGAGGATAATCAAGATGATGTGTTAAAGACATTTTCAAACAGAGATGTAAATTGTAATGGATGGAAAAATATATATATATCATTGAACAGAAACTACAACCAGAAATATGCCAAAAAAAGGGAGCTAATAAGCTATGTTCTAACATGGAATTAAAAATCTGACGAAACAAATATGGAATTTAAAAGATTATTCAGACAAGTAAATCTAGCCCTACCACTCTGGAGATATGTAGGATCAGCACACAGGTTACAGATCAGAAGTGGAAGCACAATAACATTAAATTGAAGAAGAACAAGAAACTTTGTCATAAGAAGGTTCTATCCTTTATCTGATTTTTCTATATATTAGAGGATAGAGAATAACACTAAGATGATTCTTATTGACTAAGGCCTTAGAATTTACCATTATACTAAAGATCCAGAGACAAGTGGTACACTTGAAGAATGCCTCTCACACTCTAAAACAAGGATGAAACCTTTCTAAAACAGTATTACCTAATTTTGCAGCCAAAAAAAATCTGTGCATTTCTTTGCTAATTTAACCCACAATATTGGTATGTAGGATAATATAAGTTTATGGCAATTTTGGAAGCATAAAAGCAAAAGTATTTTAGAATTTAAGACAATAGGTTACGATAATTATTCATAGATCTTGGATTTGCTCAAACAAATAAATACATAGGAGCCATTAGACCTGCATATGCTAGCAGTTGTAAAGAGTGACTAATGCATGAGTGTAAAAATGTTTTAAGGACAGAAACAGGTGCCACATCAATCTCAAAGTTCTGTTTCATGACTGTAAAGATTGAAAAACCTCATCTACAAAATGGAAAACATTTTGCACCAGATTCTTTAGTTAATAGGTCTGGTTTTGTAGAAATAGGATGATATCTGGACCTTGAACCCACCAAAGGAACTAATTTTAAATAGGATCTAATGGGTTTAACACGACCCAGAATTACTGAGCTAGTTTCTGTAAATATCTTGATCATGGTCATGCTGTTGGCCTCTTGTAGATTTCATTCAGTTAATAATAGACATTCTTATTATTACATCTTAAACCTCTACCTGATACTTCCTGAACCTGTTCAGTATATGACTGAATATACCAACTTATTGTATCCATACCATTTTTTGTTCTTTCCATCACATGGTCTTATACATGCTTTTCTTCTTTAATTGAACTATGACTATTTGTTCTGTTAAACAAGTGGTGCTGAAGCCTTCAACCTCTTGGGGTACAAACATGAATCAATTCAGGTAGATGTGTGATCCATGGATGACAACTTCAAGATTAAGAGGGTCAAATGGTGTCCAATGGGAATATGCAATCACTTTTCCACAAAACAGAATTTGGAACAAGATACATCATGGCTCCCAAAAGAAATCCAACTTGGAGAGAAGACCACTCATAAAAATTAGTCCTTAGCAGTTAAAAATTCAAATAAAATACACATACAATGACACATGGATCCCAGAAAACAACAAATGTTTTGATACTGAATTATCTACTCCTTATGTGGAGACTTACTCTCAACAAGCAATATTTGCAGTAGAGGCTAACAGAGTTTGTGGGTTACATTTTCCATTCATTTTCCTGTTAGAGATTTAAACATCTTATCCTAAAACGAATTTAGATTACTTTTTTATCGTTAATAGATATTATTTACAAAGCACTTGGATTGAACTTTCAGAATCTTAAGATGAGGATGAAAAACAGAATCAAATAAAACTTTAAGATGACATATATCTAAAATCAACCAATACTAAAAGGGCTTTTACAAAACCAAAGGACAAAAGAAAAAATGGAGATGTTAAGCATTATTTATAAGCTAGGAAAAGCAAGATCTTAACAATTGCGACAATTTCACACACCAGAACCTGATCTATTCAAGACAAACAGAGATCAACTACCAATCATGATTGCCACCAAATATATCCAAATTGCATTTGGATCTTAAAACAACCAAAAATCAGTCATAGGTAAAACTTACTGAGATCCTACAATAGTAAATTCCAACTTAGGGATGATAGAGTAAAAAGACAGGGAACCACCAAAGAAACTGAAAAACCCGACTTGACATAGGAATTAAGTTTATGCAGATGAAGCTCTATGGTTGAATTTTTACCAATAAATAATTTATCAAAAAGTATTTACCAATAAATAAAAATCTGTGGTTGAAAGGAATCACTGCTGAAACTGAAAGTCTACTTACCATAAAAATAAAGGTCTTCAAGATGAAGTTCTTACTGTCAAGGCTGAAATGACAACTAGATAAGAATGAAGTTATGAAGCCAAGCTTGTTCACAAGAAAGTATGGTTATCCGATTCTGTGAGAATGGTTGAACCTACCATGAAGAAGAAGAGAGAATAACTTAAATCCTTTATTTTCCATTTCTCTTTTCTTTTTCTTTTTTTTTTTTGGGGGGGGGGCGATGGAATAACTGCCTGGTTCCTAATATATATTTCCTAACTTGGATTATTTCTTATTTTAGAACCATACAATCACAATAGAGGCTTACAAGCCTCAAAGCCTTTATTTTGGTAATGTACAGACCTCAAAACTGTCTACTCCTGAAATGATTGCAACTTGTAAACCTTCGAGAAAGCAGAAATTTGGGATAACCTTTGAAATATGGTAGGTGGAGTACTTGGTTCAAACTTGCTAGACAAAGGGAAGATAATCTAGCACTGCTTAAGATGCCAGGTTTGATGCAGTGAAAAGAATAAAGATGCCAAGTCTGAGGTTTTAAGGTTATCATGTCCCTTTGCAATCATTTTCTTTTTCAGGGAAATAGATACAAGCTACATGACTAGAAAAAGTGATGATCATCAAAGAAAGTGATGAGGGGTGAATTGGCCCGACCTAATAAGTAAGGACACATGGATGTGGCCTGCCACCTAGGTGAAAAATCAGCATGTAGTGCCACATCAGCAGATTACAGGACCTCGGGTGCTCGGTCACTTCTGGTTCGGAGCACCTCGGTACCCACGTACGCCGAGGTGCCATATAACCGAACCTAAAAGCTCCCCAGTTGTTTCCGAACTTCTCGGGATTATGCCACGTAACTGTAGGCCTTATCCTCACCCTACCCGAATCGGAGGGAAACGGTGAGCCTTATTAATTGATACACTACCCTCCTTCCAAAGCGGAAAGGATCCCTATGTCGTGGGCCGAGGATTCCGGGAACATTTCGTGAGACCCACAGCAGCCCAGCTATATAAGGGCATCAAGACCCAAGACTCAGATACGCGTGATTACCTGCTCACTAGCTTACTTGCATTCAAGCTTTCAGCTCGCAACCAGAATACAATACTAACTTAAGCTTCGGACGACCTCGCCGGGTTAGCCACCCCGGGTTCTCTGATCCTTTGTTTTGCAGCTTGGTCCAGCTCGCTACGCGACTAGGGTCCAGGTAATCTTCCAATTAGGAGCTTCCAGATCGCGTACCATCAATTGGCGTCGTCTATGGGAAACTGATCAAAAGGTCAACCTTACACCTCATCCATCACCTTACTCTCTCAATGGCATCTTCAAGCAACATCGGCAAGAGCATCGACATGAGCGTCACTGGGGGGCAGGACCACCCAGCATCACTCCCCCAAGGCCCTTCAATGACTATTGGGCAGTTCACCATCCCCCTCACTGCCTTAGGGGTCCCCACTGTGTCGATGCAACAGACAAGTCAGCAGATAAACGTCCCGCTGCCCTAGGTAAACACCACTTTCTCAGAACCCTCGGTGATTCCTCCTGGGGTAAGGCATCACCAGTTCGATGATTTAGTTCAAAGTTCCAGAACCATGCAGATTCAGATGCAACAAATGCATCAGTTCCAACAACTTCAGCAATACTTTTTGTACTAGCAATACCAACAGCAACTTCCACCACTGCAGTCGAACCAGCAACCAGGTCAGTACCAGAATTAGACACAAAACCAGCAACCTCATCAGAGTGTTCACCGATCTTCTCGTTGGGGTGAGGGAAATTCATAGGTTCCGATCCCTCCTAGGGGCCGAACCCCACCTCGGGGTAGGATCGACGACCAACACACTACCCCGGTTTCTCAAAGGGGGAACTTGAAAGATAAGCCCAGGAGCAACCAACAGACTACACCGAGGAGTGAGCTGCCCCGATGGAGGAGATAGTCCATATACCGGTTTCCGAAATCGAGCTGACCAAGACACTCCAGATTGGTGCTCTGATAAACGAACCGCACTAAACACAACTAGTAAGTTTTTTACATAATAATTTAGATGTTTTTGCTTGGTCCACGCCAGAAATACCCAGCCTAGTGTGATTACTCACAAGTTAAATGTGGGCCCTTTAGTCAGGCCAATTAGACAAAGAAAATGCAACCTCACCCCAGAGCGGTGGAGGGTAGTCGATGAAGAAGTTGGGGAACTTCTCGCCGCAGACTTCGTTAGGGAGGTCCATTACCCGACCTGGGTGGCCAACCCTGTGATGGTGAAGAAAGCCAACGGAAAGTGGCGCATGTGCGTCAACTACACCGACCTGAACAGAGCCTACCCGAAGGACTACTTCCCCCTTCCCAGAATAGACCGCCTGGTAGACGCGACCTTGAGGCACGAGTTGCTAAGCTTTATTGGACACCCACTCCGGCTACAACCAGATTAGGATGGACATAGCCGACCAGGACAAGACCGCTTTTGTAACTGAACTAGGGCTGTACTATTACAAAGTCATGCCCTTTGGTTTAAAAAACGTTGGAGCAACTTGTAAACAAATTTTTTGAACCATTGATTGGTAATAAAATTGAATGTTATGTTGACGACATGGTCGTGAAGACCCAGTATTCAAACTCCTTAATTGACGATTTAAATTTTGTTTTTCAAATCTTGAGAAAATTCAACATAAAGCTCAACCCGAACAAGTGTGTCTTCAGGGTCACGTCGGGCAAATTCCTCGGTTACATAGTGAACCGACGTGGCATTGAAGCCAACCCAGATAAAATCAAGGCCGTATTAGATATGGGACCGCCCCAGAAAATAAAGAAGGTTCAAAGACTAACAGGCCGGGTGGCCGCCCTAAACCAGTTTATGTCTAAATCGGTGGGTCGGTGCCTACCTTTCTTTAAAGCAATGAAAAAGAATGAAGATTTCGTATGGACTGAGGAGTGCCAGCTCGCGTTTGATGAGTTGAAAAAGTACCTAAGTACCGCACCGGTTTTGACTCAACCTGAGGAAGGTGACGAACTGAAGCTGTACCTCTCTGTGAGTGACGGGGTGGTCAGTTTGGTATTAATCAGAGAAGTAAACCGGGTCCAATGGCCTGTCTACTACGTAAGCAAAGTGTTGCAGGATGCGAAGACTAGGTATCCCGACATCGAAAAGTTAGCATACGCGCTAGTGGTAGCAACTTGGAAACTACGTCCGTACTTCCAAGCCCATACAATTGTTGTCCTCACCAACAAACATCTAAGGCATATCTTGCTTAAGCCTGAAGTGTCGGGTAGATTGACAAAGTGGCCCATCGAGTTGAGCGAATACGACATCCGGTTTGAGCCATGCCCAGCGATCAAAGCCCAAGTCTTGGTGGACTTCGTAGCATAATGCACATTCAGCACGCCATCCCCTGGGTTGACTGAGCCTGCTAACGTGTCGGAGGCATCAACTAGGATGGCACCGGTCCCGATCAGGGTAGGATCGACATGGGACGAAGAGCCCTGGATCCTCCACGTAGACGGCGTCTAACTAACGAGGAAGTGGTGCTGGACTGATACTGTACGACCCGAGCGAGGTGAAGTTGGAATATGCTCTCTGGTTCGGATTTCAGGCGTCGAACAATGAAGCAGAGTACGAGGCATTGATTGTCGGGCTAAGTCTAGTGAAAGAAATGGGTGTAAAACACCTCGTCGCGTGCAACGATTCTCAGCTGATAGTAAACCAAGTCAATGGTGACTATGAAGCTCGTGATTCAACCATGGCAGCTTACCTTGCCATGGTCAGGGAAATCCTACCATGCTTCCATTCATGGTTCATTAGGCAGATACCGAGGTCCTGCGATCTGCTGGCGTGGCACTACATGCTGATTTGTCGGTCTCCATACAATCCTTGGCAGTAGCGTCTCTATCTCCCTCCTCCGTTGTCTCATCACCGAGGAGATCGTCGTCACTCTCCTCCTCGGAGTCCGGGTCCTTAGCAGCCTCCCCGGCCATCTCCTTGTTGATTCTGGATGTAGTGATAGCACTGAGGTCAAGCTTGGGGAACTCACGCCGTGTCAGCCACCTACTAAGCTTAAAGCCCTTGCGATAGGCCGTTGTGTTGGTCTCGATCATTAATTTGTGATGCTCCTCCGAAGACTTATACTCCTCGACGGCCTGAACCTTAGCGTCCTTGATCACGTTGTCGAAGATCTCCGTGCGCTCCTTCATGAGCTCCTCGAGGTTCTCCTTCTCCCTCTGGAGGGCCTCCCTTTCCCCCTTGAGCTTCTTCTTCTCCTCCCTCAGTAGCACGATTAGCTCCTTTTGAGCTCGCACATCCTTCTCCAGCTTATGAATCTTGCCACAAGCTAAGTCCAGTTCACGCTAAATACTCCTAGAGGTTTCTTCAGCCTAGAGGGCCCGCTTCAGCTACACCTCGGATTGGCAAGCTAGACTGTGAATTGCGGAGT